CGATTGATTTCATGTGCGAATACGAGTTTCTCCTCCTCTCTGTTGAAAATTCAGTGTCCAATTTAGCAGATGAATGTTTGGGGGTTTAGTGCTGTTCTATATTAGCAAAAGTAAAGTCGTGTTGATATGGAAATGATGATGATTTAGGTCTTTATTTTGGATCGGTTTAGACTCTTGTATAGCTTGGTTATCAGTCTGGTTTAGTTGTACGTGCAAACATAATGTTTGTATAGCTTGTTTATACTTGGACAGAAATAGAACATAATTTCCAAATCCTCTTTATCTTGATCTTCATCTTCTTCGAGTGAGAGAGTTTATTTCTGTTCAAACTCAATCACTAATAGTCTTCCTTTGATCTGAGTGTGGGTTTGATCGATTGTGTTACTTAGGGGCAGCAAAGGCGCAGTCGAAAGACGCAGGTGAAGTAAGCCCTGTGGTGGGACTGGGAGGAGACACATTCACTAATCCCAAACATCTCCTTCTCCCAGTCATTGACCGCAACCCTTATCTCTCTGAAGGCACCAGACAGGTATCTTTCTTCCCTTCCTTTGTTTCTTGAGAAATCCTCCAGACATGTTTTATGATAAAAGGCTAATTGGTTCAACGTTGTGGTAGGCTGCTGCTACTACAGCCACCTTGGCAAACAAGTATGGAGCTGATATCACAGTTGTAGGTAAGTAGTAGTACTAGTGTCCTTTAAGTCCCGGCCATCTTCAGTGATATCTGGATTTGATCAAACGGTTTGATTCAGTGATCGACGAAGAAAAGAGAGAATCATCTTCGGAGCATGAGACTCAAGTATCCAACATCCGGTGGCATCTATCACAAGGTAGAAAATGCAAATGTGGAATGTTGTGTGGTGGAAATGGAAAATGAGAAATGTTGGTTGGCAGGTGGATTCGAGGAGTTCAAGCTGTTGGAGAGGCTTGGGGAAGGAAAGAAGGCGACGGCAATAATAGGAGAGGTGGCGGATGAGCTGAGGATGGAGCTGGTGGTGATGAGTATGGAAGCAATCCACTCCAAGTTCATCGACGCCAATCTACTCGCCGAGTTCATCCCATGCCCCGTCCTGCTCTTGCCCTTATGAGATCCTTAATTGGTTGGTCATTGCTCCCGCCAACAGTCTTCTTCTTTTTTGGCCGCCAACTAAACATTTACTTGCTCGTCCTAATAAGACGTTTTCTGCATAATCGACATGTTGATGAATATACCATAACATTTGTCCATAGAGCAGAGAGAGAGAAGGGATCGAAATGTGTCGAGGTGTATGATGCACATTTTCTTTCTTTTCATGTTGTCCTTTGTTTGTTTTCTCTCACATTCAAATTAACAGACATTAATCACATTCAAATCAACAGACATTATAAATATGATGATGAC